AGTGAGCGTGTACAAGCAGGGGTGGTGGCAGGCCGAGGGAGAAGCAGGTGCCCCCTGAGCAAGGACCCCAACTCGGGACTCCATCCCAGGATCCCAGGATCATGACCTGAGCCAAAGGCAGATGCTCAACCGACTGAGCCACCCAGGTGTCCCCCAGATGTCTTTTATATAAACGATAAAAACAGGTACAACTGGTTCCTGGCGTTGGGCATCAGGGTAGATGGAGATGACCCTCATGGGGAGGTGGGGTAGTGACTGGGGATTCGGGAGGAAGAGGAGACCAATGGACTGGACATCAGGGAAGTTGCTAGAAATAGCACTTTGGTCCTCAAGGCTCTGAATTCAACTGAGAGGCCAGATGTGGGGCAGTGGGGAAGACCTAAGAGATACAGCCCGGGGTCCCCTGCTCCCCCTTTCCTCGTCCACACAGACCACCAACTAGCAAGCGGTAACCCAGGCCTATAGCCCACTCTGGGTGGGCAGGGCCTAAGGCACCTTGTCTTCCTTCGACCCCATGACACCGCCTTGCTGTTCTGCACCAAGCCTGCCGACCGGTGGGAGCCAGGGGTCATAAGGGGGCTGACCTTACAGGCCAGAGACTGGGAGCTCCTCCAGGGGAGAGGCCTTGCCTGCGGTGCCGGACGTTGGCAGGCAGCCCCTGGCCCCAGCTTCCAGGGAAGCACGAGGTCGCCACACCAGCACACGCTGCTGACCCCGGCCAGCCTCAGGCGAGCTCGGCTCCAGCCCTGCCTGTGAGGAGCCATTTGCTTGTGCCTTCCCCTCCTCTCCCCTGCTGCTTTAGAGAGAGTAAAGGGGGAGGGCCATTCCCTGCTCCTGAAAAGTGGACAAATAACCCGCTGCAGCCGCCCTCGAGAAGGACCGTGTCTGTCTGCAGGAAGTTGGTGCTCCCCAACGGTCGGGTGGTTTAATGCTCCTCAGGGCAGGATGTGTGTGGATGGCCGACCAGGGCCTCCCCACGGGAAGCTCACGGACAGGCTTCCCGGAAAATGGGATTGTTGAATCAGAGTTCAGAGCTTTTGCTTAAGAAGCACCCAGTGGGGGCGCCTGGGTGGCTCAGTCGTTAAGTGTCTGCCTTCGGCTCAGGTCATGATCCCAGGGACCTGGGATCAAGTCCCACATCGGGCTCCCTGCTTCGCGGGAGGCCT